GTCAGAAGATCAGGCCATTCCATCTGGGAAACAGAAGACTAGTGAGATTACAATCGAAATCAAGTGCTCTGAGAGTCAGAGATGGACAGATCAACAGTGTGATGTACACCAAGGAAGTCTGAAGTATTGAGAAAAGCCAGCGACCTTGAAGTGTGTGGGGGGGGGCACAGGATATAGAGGGAACCCTAGAGAACGTATTCTGACTAAGGAAGAATCTAGAGCAAATGCAGAAGAGACTCGTGTCTTGGAGTAGGAAAGGAACCTCTTCCGTCTGGGTCTAGGTGTAGTATATGAGGAATAAGTTAGGCCCCCCCAAGGGGGATAATGACATCTGGCCTTTCCTCATGAGATCACAGGTTTCCTTCATCACACATCCCTCATGTACTTTTGCAAAGGCAAAAGGGGCCACGGAGCATGGGTCAAAACTAACAGAAACCGAACACACATTTAGATAAGTTCTAAAGATAGGTCACCCCTTTCCTTTGTAAAGGAAAAGACGGGTCCTTTTTAATTGCAGAGGGTCATGGCTCACAGTGGGTGGGGGACAGTGACAAATATCTGGACTGGCCTGGAAGAGATCTGCCACCAGGCATGGGGGTAGGGTCTCTGCATAAGGCTCACAGTCACAATCTACCGGAGCAATCATTAAATGGTGTGGCTGTGTCCACAGGGGCTTCCAAGAACAAGGGACAGAAAATGGTGGCTCGGGATCAAGGAAGGAAAGACAGACAGACCAGAAGCCACCGTGAAAGGGAAACTGAGTGCCGGGACAGTGAGGTAGACAGGATTACAAAGGCTTCGAGGCAGCCCGGACTCAAGGGGTGGGGACTTTGGTAAGAGTCACTGGTTTCTTAAGGAACGGGTAGGAGATGAAGGAACACTGTCACTGAGTGAAACTATGAAATTCCCACTGCCAGAACCGGCCTACATCTAAGTCAGCAGCGGGTCAGAGGCTGTGGGCTCTAAGATGGAGGTCAGAGCTGCAAAATGTGAGTGCCACTCAGAGGCTGGAGTGATGTATAGGACGATGGGGGGGGGGGGGCGCACAGAGGGTGAGGAATGGAACAGCCACTGTGCTCTTAGGAGCAGGGCAGTGACCTACAGATGCTGACAAGCACAGGCCTCTGAAGTCATGAGCAAATAGTTCCAGTCTCAAAAGGAAGCACCCCTGGAAGGAGGAAAACATGGACTTACTTCCTATTACTCAAATGTCTGCTAATCACCTGCTGTATGCTTTTGGGGTTTTGTTTGCAGTGAGGGCACTGAACACAGAGCCTCATACATGCTAGGCAAGCACACCCCTGTGAGCTACCTCAGCTGCTCCTTGTGTTTGCATGATCTGGGGATCATCCTCTCCTACATGAGTACGTCCTTCCACAACCAACTCCTCCAATGTGCTCTCCTTTAATCTATCTGTCCTTCAGATTCTAGACAGTAGCACCATACATCATTCAGCCAAACAAGAGACAATAATCACCTCTGCCATCCATCCTAACTTCACATCCCAGGCTGTTTCCTCCTCCCACTGGAGGCTCTCAATGTGCTCTTCAATAAAAACCCAGTAACAAAAGACCTCTTGGAAGCCATTGTGCCCGCACAAGCCTTAAAATCCAAACTTGGGTGCAGTGCCTGGGGGTGGGGCATGGTAATAGCAGGAGACTTGTATGTCCCACGCCAAGACAGCAAAACCCTCTTTCCAAACAAAATAAAGCAGGGCTGCGGATATGTTCGGTGGCGGAGTGCTTGCCCAGCACACCCCAAACCCTGAGTTCAATCCCTATTACAGAAAAAAAGCAGATCTGAAAAGTCTCAGTGCTATACAGTAATTGCCCTAAAATATTTGAAGGTCACTAACTTTGGAATTCTTTTGATTTCATACTGTCTGAAGGCTCGGATTTCCTGATTATTTGTTAAGCACAATTTGAAAGTTTATGAAGACATTACAAATGAATCACTTGGACTGCTTGACTTTATAAATCAGGCTAATATCGTTCACTTTGAATTACATGACTCATCTTATTCTATGTATTTCTTTATACACGTCAATCCACCCTCCTTAAACGAGAAACACCCATAACTACCCTTTTGTCATCTGTAAACTCTTTATTAAAATTCTCAATAATTCTAATGACAGCAAGTCACTAAGTAAAAAAGAAATAGCATCACTGAATTCTAAGCAAAACATCCTTACCCATGTACGAACTGGATATGCGTCAAAGCAGCTTAAGGTTTGTTATACATAATTTTTAGAATTATGTGTACATAAGTTTTAATATACATAATCTGTCAAGGCCAGGCTTTGTGCATAAAGGAAAAGAAGCTGCTAAGAATGGTAGTTGTTGGCCCCTGGGCTCCACTGACCTCCCTCATCCCACCTGTCACACCAACACTCACATTCTCTTCTTACTAATCCGGTCTTAAAGCTAAATTCAACTCCCCCTTATCCAGGGCAAAGGTTCAGAGAGAGGGAACATAAGGACATCGCCAAGGCTGACTGTGAAACTGCAATAGTATTCCCCTGCTAGGAAATGCTTGCCCTACACCTCTTCCTCTTCCCTCTGTACTCTCCTACCACAGCCACCAAACCTGATACCAACCTTCCTGTGAGAGGGAAACGATTCTCTGTGGTACCATCAGGAAAACGGAAACATGGCTTATACACTTAGTTGCTCGAAAACTTGTTTGGAAGGCAGTAAAAGTTCAATGCTCATTTTCTTCCAAGAGGGTCGGTGACGGTTCGGTTAGGAGTAAGCAGCACTGAAATTTAACAGTTCATATCTAACACAAAGGTTCTCCATTTTTACTTAAGTTTCTTTGCGAGGAAAGTTAGCTGTTAAGAACAGATTAGGACGCAAACAGCAGTGTCAGTGTAGATTTACCATTATTTTTCCTGCATCATGAATGACTACATAGGGATGCCAGAAAACTGTGATGTCCACAACACTCCAAAAAGTCATCATGTTTGGAGAATTGGGGTGGGGAGAAAAAACCAGTTACTTCAAGGGGGAAAAAGCTCCTAGAGAACACATAGATCCTAACACATAGGGGTATGTCCTAACCAAAACCCAACTAAACCAAAACATAAACGCTTACTCTGGGGGAAAAAGCCAATCGAAAGGCAAAGAAAAAAAAATATCAGTTCGAGAAGCCTCACTTCCTGTCCTATCAAACAGAACCTCAGAACAGGTGGGACTCAGCTACTCTGTGTGAGTCCCGATTCCGGTATTCCTCATTAAGGAGTTGTAGGTGAGCGGTAAAGCCCTGGGCCCTCATTTTCCCAGTGGCCTAAATCAACCCCCAGTCCAGGACAAGATGCTGAGCAAGATGCCTAATTATTTCAGGCCACTAGGGTAGTAGGCACTATTCCTGGCTGCTCTGCAGGCAGCCCCACATAGAGGGCTTCTAATTCTCTTTTGGTGATTTGGCTCAGTGTAAACAGATTTTTCCGTTGGTCTTTCAGACAGATAGGCAGGAAAAAAGGCCAGCTCCAGTTCTGTGAGAGACAATGCCGTCCAGGAAATACTCTTTTTTTTCCCTTACTGCCCCTCTGACACCTTTCTCTACGGTTTATCAGCTAGCTAGTGAGAGCCCCGTGTGTTCACCTGGTCATGCAGAGGTCTCTTAGCCCAGGGAACAGCAGGAAGGCACCGCTGTTTCTCTGAGAGGCCTGCTGAGACTCCTGGCTTGTGACTGGAGAAGGCTCTCCCTACTGACACTACGAAGGTCTCCTCAGGAGAGACTTTGCTAAGTGATCCAACCGCCTGCTGCCAATTCTTGAAGTCTTCACTGGGCACAGCCGTCACAACATGCTAAGTCATTAGGCAACATGGAAAGGGAAGGGCAACCTCCGTGTTTCCATTCAGAAAACGGTGGAAAGGTTGGAAAGGTCTGGAAGTTGCAGCAGAGACAGCTGACGTCTGTCCCGGGTTTTGTAGGTCACGGCTTCCTTGTACCTTCAGACGAGTGTTTTACTTACCATATTTCTCCTTGAAAACTTCTGTTTACTTTCTTAAACCGTGGGCACCAGTGGAGAGGTCCCAGGTGTACATTCCAGGCACTCAAACAATTTACACGGACTGAGCCTGTTTGGGTACACAGGTCCAGGCTGAGGAATTTCTTAAGTTGAGAACAAGTGAGGGGACAGGCTGGAACGAAAAAGGCAATGCCCTACCTATGTGCCAGCAACGCCAGATAGAAACCCTGTCAGTATTACAAAGAAAAACTAACCGATTTACGCCACGCTTTTTCAAACTGCGTTGCTTGCTCGCTCTCTCTCAGAATCTTCATTAAAGAAACGCAAACACGTGTGCCCTGAAATGGGTAGGTGTAAAAGAACATTCTGCACAATTATATCTAGGCTGCCACAGATTTATCACATGCAGACATATATTTGGAGCATATTAATTCACGATGACAGCTGCGCATGGCAAATCCAACAGTGCGCAAGTTGGAATGCTGGAGAGGAAAAAAAATGCAACTACAACCCCCCCCACACACACACACGAGTTTTCCACCTCATCACACACGTGGCCTCACTTACAGAGATTTAACACAACTGAAAAAACCCCAAACACCTGAGGTCCCCTGCAGCCCAAGCCCAGAGCTTGCCCCCCTCCCACACCACCAGCCGCGCTTGCATCCACAGGCTTGACCGTGGGTCGCACGTCCCGGGGTACACTCGCCCTCCCACCCACGCCCCACTGCGTGGACACACGCGCGTGCAGAGCTCGCGCGCCAGCCACCCAGCCACCCAGCCGGCGGGGAAGCGCGGCTCCGGGGGCTGGGGGCAGGGCCCGCGGGCGGGCAGGCGGGCGGGCGCGTCGTGGGGCCGGGCCTCGGCGCCCAGGGAGGGGACTAGGGGCGGGCGCGGGGCGGCGCCCGGCTCACGTGGGCGGGCGGGAGCAGCTGAAGGTCCGCTCCGGAGCCTGGGCTGTCCTCTCGCGCGCGGCGCTGGCCGGGGCGGCGGCGCAGGAGGAGGAGGAGGGGAGCACGGGGGCGGCGGCGTCGGACTGGAGCCCATCGGCGGTGCGAGCTGCCCGGGGCGCAGTCGTGAGCTCGCCCGCCGCGCCCCCACCGCTGAGCTACACCGTGCCGTGCCCAGCTCTGCCCGCGCCCCCGCGGCGAGCGCGCCGGGGCTGCCCCCCGAATGACGGGCGGAAGGTTCGACTTCGACGATGGCGGCACCTACTGCGGCGGCTGGGAGGAGGGCAAGGCGCACGGGCATGGCATCTGCACGGGGCCCAAGGGCCAGGGCGAGTACTCTGGCTCCTGGTCGCACGGCTTCGAGGTGGTCGGAGGCTACACCTGGCCCAGCGGCAACACCTACCAGGGCTACTGGGCGCAGGGCAAGCGGCACGGGCTGGGGGTGGAGACGAAGGGCAAGTGGATGTACCGGGGGGAGTGGTCACACGGTTTCAAGGGGCGCTACGGGGTCCGGCAGAGCGTGTGCACGCCCGCCCGCTACGAGGGGACCTGGAGTAACGGGCTGCAGGACGGGTACGGCGTGGAGACCTACGGGGACGGAGGTGAGCGACGTCGCCGCGGTTCCGCGGGCTGGCGCCCTGGGTTCTCCCGGGCGGCGGGGACGGACGTGGGGAGGGCGCGAGGCGCACGTGTCCGGAAACCCGCCAAAACACCTGGGGAGGTTCCCGCACCTCCATCCTCTCCCACCCCCCCACTCTCGGCCCCGCAAGAGTGCGTGGGTACGCAGCTGGGGAGCGAGGGTCTGTCTGTCTGTCTGCTCCGACGTGGTTCCCTAGGCGAGCGGGGTGTCCACGCTCCGGGAGTTAGGCGTGCAGGCAGGCATGAATACATGCATGCATTCACCTGGCGAGGGCCAGCTCCGCGCTGCCACCAGGAGGGTTGGAGGGTTGGGCAGGAGAGGGGACGCTGCCTGTCACTTGAGCCCAGTCACATTACGTTCCTGATCCCTCCCTCTCCCTGGGCCGGGTTTGAAATCGCCACTCTGGTGGAGTTAGACTCCTTGGGCTGCTCTGCTGCTGCTGCTCGCTCGGTGCTGCTGACCGCCCCGCGGTTTGGTTTCACGTGGAGTCTCGTATTTCGCTTCTAGCTAGCCTAAAGATAGAAAGAAGCCAGAACCCCATAAGTAGGATGTTGGGGAGTTGGACCTTATGGAGGGTGTATTTTGAAGAGTCCTAGTTTAGTTATGGGCAGCGAAGCGACCACACAAAGCAGGTGAATTTTCCAGTTTTCTCCCTAACATTCACTTGGCTCCTTAAAGTACTTTGAGTCACAAGAACTGTAATCTTTGCTGACCTGGAGAGCTTTGGGCAAATTACTGGGGAAATGATTTAGGAAAAGGCAACAGAGTTGCCATTTTAAAAAGAAAGGAAAGAAAGAAAATTAAAGAGAATACTATATCCCTGATATACATTAAAGGGTGCGGCCTAAACACACCTGGATGCTATTTAACGTTTACCGTATAATTGTGTTCATTGTAGGCCAGGATTCATTTTTCTCTCTAGGAAGAGCATACATTAGTGAAACAGGTGTCAGAACTTGATTGATTTCTTTGAAAACAAACCGAGGGAGACGAGTGGCTTATCCTTTAGCAACGAACACTTTCTGATAATAAACATAATCATATTTAATTGAAAAGGAGTGTAGGAGGCTATGTCACCTTTTGGAATTAAGCCGATTCAGAGTTGGAGGATATTAAAGGGATCCAATTAAAAGTTTCTGCAGCCCACTGAAATCCCGTTATGCGATTGCTTATATAAAAGCTTATACAATCTGTACACTTCACTTGCTCAGAACACTTGGGCCGTGTTTCAAATCAAAACAGCAGAATGGTAGGATTTATTTTTTAAAAAAAAAATCTTTTCACCCTGCAATGTAAGTACAGGCCATGGTTCTCATGGATTAAAGGGAGGGTCTTAATACTTTTCTATGGGCCGAGCCCTGCATGCCATGGTAGTTAGAAGAGGGCCTTAAATGTTTGGAAGCAGCTGAAAACGCTTTGGTTGACAGTCTTACGAATGTTTGTTCGAGACTGGATTTGATTCGCAGCTCTAGCTCTAATATAACAAAGTACCATGCTCTACAGTGTTTTGTTTTTTAATGTGATCATTGTATAGGCCCCCCCTTTTTAAAAAAGATTATGAAATAGACTTGTTTTTATTGTGACTTAATTATAGCATAGGCTTCCTTTACAAGTGAAAACCCATTAAATGAACCCTGGTGGTTTAGAGTGTTCGTTATGCCTAGTAATCAAAACATAGATCATGGCAAAAGCCATTTTTTGTGCATGTGTTTGTAGAAGGCTAAATCCACCTCCAAATGACTGTGGATAATCTGCCTTCTGTTTTCAACCAACTTTGAAATTTTAAAAAGATGAAATTTGGCATCATCATAGCACTGTGGTTTTCTTTTTCTACAAACAAACAAACAAGCAGACCCTGTTGTGCTCTAGTCAGAAAGATTTAAACATGTGGGTGACTTTTGAATGCCTACTCTGTGCCAGTCAATTCCCTGGTTTCTCTCCTGTCATAGCATCTTATTAGAAAGTCTGTACTTTTTAAAATGGCCTAAGCAGAGGTATATTGCTACAGTTTATTCACACAGAGGCTTTATCCCAAGTGGGAGCATCAGCTTCTTTATTCCTAAGAGTTAGCTTAATTCTGCCTCTCTTCCCATGTATTTCTGAAGACAAGAGAATAGAAAGTTGTAATTCTGTGTGAGAAGAATCACTTTATTTCACCAGAGATTTCTGTGTAAAGTGTAGCTGAAATAGAAAATCCCTGCATATTAAGAACTAAATGCATCATATTCATGAAATCCAAGTCTAGATTCCCATGTTCTTTTGTACAAATTTGGATCTGCTAAACTTTCTTTTTAAAATAATCTGTTATAAAACTATGGAAGATATCTAGGAAGACCCACTATTCTATTTATGTATTTGAATTGGGGTCACTTGTAGCCCAGGCTAGCTTTAAGCTGGGGATGACCTTGAACTGTAAACATTCTGCCTCTGCCTCTCCAGGACCAGGTGGGGATGGAAAGCAGGCTTCATTCATGCCAGACAAGCACTCTGCCTCTTCTACCTCATGCCTGTGTTTTTGTTTTCGAGTTTTTGCTTTTTTGTTTTGTTTGGTTTGCAGAATTACAGTTGCTTGTAGCCTTTTGAAGCATGTACTTAAGCTTGGCACCACAGCCATCCCAAGTTTGACTAAAATTCATTCCAGTCTGGGTGCCATTCATCACAATATTATGCAGTTAAGATGGACAGATCTTTAAAACCAGCTCCCAGATGAACACAATTTAAAACAACCAGAAAAAAAAAAAAAGAAAGAAAGAAAGAAAGAAAGAAAGAAAGAAAGGAAAACCACTTTGCTTTCATGTTAAATATGCACTGGAATTTAGGGGTGGAGAATAGTGAATCACACCTCCTTTTGAACAAAAGAACAAAAGAACTTGGAGACTACCTGCTTCATAAAGAAATAGGTTCTGTTTTCTAGTTCATTGACTAAGCCAAACCTCTTTAAACCTTAAGATCAACTATGTAAATTTGAACCAACTTGTTTCTAGTGGTGCTTTGAATGTCCTGGAAGGACCTTTGTTCCCGGTTTCTGTCCTGTTTCGTAGTCCCAAAGATGTTTAAACTGTCTAATTATTGCTGTTTTTTAAACAGCCTGAATGTTGAAGCAGATCTTTGGAAAGTCTTAACTGCTGTTTGATGTTGGAGCTGTTAGTTGGAGGAAAGTGGCCATTGGTTTCCCCTAGATGTTTAGGATCTACTAAAATGGGATTGTTGTGTTTTAATAGCGTAAATACTTACATCTTTACAAACTGTTTTAGCATACTCATTCCGTGAGAGCTGTGTTCCTCAGAAGTTTGTAGGTATGAAGTTAAGACTTCACATCTACTTAGACTGTGGCAGTCATATTACCAGAACCTAAGCATTTCCTCGATACCCCGTTGTCAGTTTATAAAGAAGAAGAAGAAAAAAAAAAAAGATAGTCTTGAAATTGATCCACACCTTTGACTTGGGAACAGTTCCTATTAAAACCACTATCTTGGACAGGCATGGTGATAGGTGCTTGAACCCCTGCATTCAGGAGGCTCACTTAGGATTGAGAGTTCCAGGCCAACCTAAGCTACATAATAAAATACCATCTTAAGAAATAACAGTACCCCAAATGGAATTAGCACTTGTTGCATTAATAAATAAATATATCCCAATCACTGGAATCCTACAAGGTGTTGTGAAATACAAAATATAATAAAACACAGAACAAGATGAACAGACTATAATCATGATTTATTTTCTGTGACACTGGGAATTGGTAAGAATAACACCAAAGTAATTGCACTTAAAATGTCTTCCAGATAGCTGCTCTGGGGCCATAGTAACAATGCAAAATTTGCCTTTAATTAAAGAAAATGAGCTTGACTTTGAAAATTCTAAGTGCCTTAGTTTAGCCTTCCTTTCCTCCGAAGAGTATTTAAAAAAAAAAAAAAAACCACCAGGTTATTTTTTAAACTTCTCTTCGGTTATTAAGTAGAAAAAGTCACTGAAAGTATTTTTTACAGCTTATTCCTTTTTATGTTTATATATTTACATTCCCGATGTACTATATATATTTATATTATTAAACTTTTTAAAGTATAGTATTCATTGAAAAAGTGATCTGGATCAGAAAAATGTTAATGGACACAGCCAAGTTTTCTTCAAAAATTTTTAAGTGTCTTCCATCCCATCAGTTCATTCAAGCTCTATAAACATAGCCTCCAGACAGCCAGAGACCACAGAGACCACAGGACTCAAAAGCCAAGAATGAGTTTGAAACATTTGCCTGCCTTTGAGAATCAGGTCCTGCCCTCAGGTACTTGTGTGTGGTAAGACTCTCAGTACTTTGGAAGAGACTAGGGAGAGCCATGCAGGGAATTGTGAGGAGAAAACAAATAACATGCTACTAGACTGTCTCTCTCTCTCTCTCTCTCTCTCTCTCTCTCTCTCTCTCTCTCTCTCTCTCCCTCTCTCCCTCTCTCCCTCTCTCCCCCCTCTCTCCCTCTCTCTCCTATCAACCCTCAGCTTCCCTTCCCTGAATGTAGGATATGTAGGATGTTTCACATCATAGAAAAGCCAAGACAGCTTGTTAGACAACCCATGTCCCAAGTATCACTGTTACGAGTGTTAAACATTTGTGCTTTTTAGAATGTTGTACTGGGCAACAACCTCAAAGCCATTTTTCTTAAGTTTGAAACCATGACTAGAATACATTTTTGTTTTGCTTTGACTGCCGTGGCACTGCCTCACTAAGATCTTTGGTGCTTTCAGAAGGGAAAAGGTAACTTTCAATGATCACTCTATTTGCATTGAGAAAATACGGTTCACAGCTCTGGGTGTATAGCCCACTGGTGGAGTATTAGCTATGAGGTTTTAGGTTCCTATGCATGCCTGCCATTCATAAAAACTTTGAATGAAAAGCAGAAGTCTGGCTATCAGAAAAGTTTATAGGTTAAAACCGTAAGACTCCAAGTCACCAGGTAGCCACCCACGGGTGAATGCAAAGTGTCTTGCCCCCACAAAGTGTGTTGAATTTGACCCTGGCCCTTCCTTCCTTCCTTCCCTGGGGACTGTTATCTCAGTGTGTGGATGCCATCCCCCAAAACTCACACAGTCTTGCCGATCTGCTCTCTCGAAGGTACCTACCAGGGCCAGTGGGCTGGAGGCATGCGGCATGGCTACGGCGTGCGCCAGAGCGTGCCATATGGCATGGCCACGGTGATCCGCTCCCCGCTACGTACTTCACTGGCCTCGCTGCGCAGCGAGCAGAGCAATGGTAGCGTGCTACACGATGCTGCCGCAGCCGCTGCAGACAACCCGGCTGGCACCAGAGGTGGCTTCGTGCTCAACTTCCACGCAGACACGGAGCTGGGCAAAAAGAAGGGTGGCCTCTTCCGACGGGGCTCCCTGCTTGGCAGCATGAAACTCCGCAAGTCCGAATCCAAGTCTTCCATCTCCAGCAAGCGCAGCTCGGTCCGCAGCGATGCAGCCATGAGCCGAATCAGTTCCAGTGACGCCAACTCCACCATCAGCTTCGGTGACGTCGACTGTGATTTCTGCGCTCTGGAAGATCACGTGGACGCCACCACCACGGAAACCTACATGGGCGAGTGGAAGAGCGACAAGCGGAATGGCTTCGGCATCAGCGAGCGCTCCAATGGCATGAAGTACGAAGGCGAGTGGGCCAATAACAAGAGGCATGGGTACGGCTGCACCGTCTTTCCCGATGGCTCCAAGGAAGAGGGAAAATACAAAAATAATATCCTAGTCCGTGGAATAAGGAAGCAGCTTATACCAATAAGAAACACAAAAACTAGGGAGAAGGTGGATAGAGCGATTGAAGGCGCACAGAGGGCTGCCGCCTTGGCCAGAACCAAAGTGGAAATAGCTAACTCAAGGTATGTGAATCCTGGGTGGGTGGTTTGGCTTGAGGCGGGATGGAGGTTCTCCAGCACACTGCCCTTTTCTCTCTGTCTGCTGATGGTGTCGCCAAATAGGCGCCCAGGACATGTACAGGGGGAAAGGCTGAAAATGGTTGATTTCAACAGAATGAGAATGAGAAACCATTTTCAGAAACTGTTAAAGGCACATAGGACAACCTTTCTCTTCTAAATTATGTCCCTACTTAACACCCTGATGGAGTTCATTCAGACATCCTTTTTGTAAATTTTTTATTGGTTTGTTTTGCTTTGTTTTTTGAGGCACGGTTTCTCTGTGTTGCTTTGGAGCCTATCCTGGCACTCGCTCTGTAGATCAGGCTGGCCTTGAACTCACAGAGCTCTGCCTGCTGGGATCAAAGGCTTGCGCCACCAACGCCTGGTCCATTCAGACATCCTTCTAAGGCCAGGAAGCTAATATTGTTTAATGTGCCTCTGAGACACCGTCACTGCTTTGTGTGATGAAGAGAAAGTATCCCTTTGTGTAGAAACATACCCACAATATAGGTTACACACCTTTGTTATGATATTAAGTTGAACACGGTTGCAACTCCCCAGTAAAATTATTAGAACTTACGGTGTTGAAATTATGCTTGAGGCCTTTTGAATCAGCTTTGAGAAAGACGCAGAGGTGCAGGAGGGAAAAAAAACCATAAAGGAAAGAGGTGAACTCAGCATGGGTGTTGAAAAGGCCGGAGCTCCTCCACAGGAGCAGACCAGACGACGGATCATCCCAGTCTGTGCAGGACAGATTAGATCACTTGTGTATTAAAAGAAGGGGTGGAGAGAACTTGACGTGGACAGATGGGACTCTTAGTGTGCCAAGGTTGGAAGAAAGTACAGCGGTCAAGAGGAGGGTGGCATAAACAGGATAAAACTGGTAAGACGTGGACAAAGGGATGGATGTGGGCATGGGAGAGTTCGGCGCTGGAGGTTTTACTCCAGAAACCAAGCTCCGTGTTCCAGCACAAGGGACAGAGGAGACACATGTAGGGATGGAGTTTTGCTAAGGATCAGTTAGGTAGCACTGGCTCTTGCTGGGAGGTTTTAGTTTTAGGGGTTAAGGACTGGCCATGGTTATGTGTGACTTCAGACATAAATCTGGTGTGCAATACTTAAAATCCTGTTTCTGCTCCAGTAATACCCATCTGCCTAGGTAAACCTCCGTCTGAAACCACAAAATAACTAGCATGTCTTCGGGTGTTTATTCTTAGTACTGAAATCAGTGAGTAACCCCACCCCTTTCGGGAATTTACTTTTTTAAAAAGATTTATTATGTGTAGGTGCCTACTTGAGGTTATGTGTGCCACGTGCCGGGTCCCCTAACCGTCAGAAGAGGTTGTCTAGTACCCTGGAGCTGCAGCGTTAGGCAGCCGTGAGCTACTGTGGATGCTGGGAACCAAACCCTGGTCCTCTCCATGAAGTAGCAGGTGCCCCCTAACCACTGAGCCATCTCCCCAGCCCCAGTATTTGAACTTTTAACACACAACAATGTGGTAGCTTCGTAGCTGTCCTTTAACACGCGAAGAACTCTGGACCTGTTTGCTTTGTGTCTGATGTCCCGGTTTTAGGCGCACTGTTGCATCTGAAGCAATAATTGGAGAGCGAAAAGAAGTCATATTTTGTATTATTTTTCCTCTCATCGGACTTCACGAAGGGTTTGTCCTGCGCCCTTTCCCGAGGACCCTCTGGTGCAGTGGTTTTCTTTGCTAAGCACTATGTCTGCATGCATTTCAGGGTACTTGGCTCAGTCTCTCTGGCTTGCCTGGCCCTCGGCTCCCTTTTAGAGCTGACGCTTCATCCTTTGCTTGCTAGGCCCCCAATCTCTAACTTTAAATGCGCTCCTGGAATCTTCTAGTCCTTCCATGCTCTCCTTACAAGTTAGTGGCACACTACAGGCAAGTTCAGGCTTAGTGGGTGGGAAGTAAGCCTGTGCAGGACACTCTTACAAGGGATGTATTCTAGCTACTGGTTTTCATGATGCGTTTAAATTATAGGAAACCAACTAACTGAAGGGCGTGCTTGTGGCACAGAGAACAATCTCTGACTATCCTAGCATCACCAAACGTTTTCCCAAATCGTAGCCACATTCTTCTGCTAGAAGACTTGGAGAGAGTAGCATGCGGTTTTGGGACACTGTGTCATATGTCGATATATTGTATCTTATAGCCAGTAGCCCAGACATATTTAGGCCTTAGACTTTTCAGCAGCTGAGATTTCATTTATCAGCTTGAAAATACTCAATGCATTATGCGAAATGAAACAAACTAGTGACAGGAAGGCAAATACTGTTTGGCCCTACTTAAAGGGGTCATCTGGAATGGCCAAACTAAAAAAAAGGAGACCAGAATGGTAGCTGTCAGGGAATGGGTGCGCTCAGTAGTCAACTGCCCGTGGGTTCGGGGTTGAGGATGTGTGAGATGTGTCGCTTGCCATGCCTGTGCACGGCAGTTTCTCGTTCTTTTTAAAAGAAGGCTGGAGTTGCGTGAGACGGTTTCATGTTTCCACAGCATAAAGGTAGTATTCGGATGACGTAACAGACAGAAAACTAAGAACACTCAGCTAAACTTTTCTACCTTCTTCATTTCCCAGTGCCCTTGATGCCGTAGACACTTTAACACAGAGTTTTTATTTTATCTTTGAAGAAAGTAGCCGACTGGCTGGCATTCCCCATGAAATAGCTGAGGCTAGACTTGCTGATGTAAGTAGGTATTAAACATCGCAGGGTAGGTATACAAGGTGTAGATAGCTTCCTAGCAGATTCGCCCTTTAAAAAGTCAAAATTAGAGCCTGGGAGATGGCTCAGTGAGCTACTGAGCACTAACCTGATGTCCTGAGTATAATCCCCCAGACCCACAATGGGGAGGGGAGAGAGAGCCAATGCCTGCAGGCTGTCTTCTGATCTCCTGGTACGTGCCTACATATGCACACATTGGTAAATGGAATTTATTTTTTAACTTAAAATTAAAACTAGAAGGGATACTAATAATTTGTTGACCCATAGAATTTTTTTCCCCTCAGATTTCTGCTCTGATTCCAAAAAGTATTATAAAAAAAAAAATTAGATTTTTATTTTTATTTTTTTTTTCTTCCCTTCTGGCTTTGACTGAGGTAAAATTCATCTTCAGTGACTAACACGGGTTTCAGCTTTGTTGCTTAAGAAATCTTAGATAGGAGAGCAGCTGTGATTATTTCAAGAAGGAAGCATGCCTAGCCATCCCTAAGCATCCACGCCAATGGCTGACCTCAGCCTCCCTGTTATGTAGATGGCGTACTCCCCGAGAGACTTCTAAACCAGGGGGAATATGCCAGCACCCAAACCCAGGCCCCTTGTCTTTCCTTCGCCCGCGTTCGCCCTTTGATGGGACCTGACCAGATGGAGATATTGAGGGCATTATACCTGAGAATGGACCCTATAGCAATGTGCTGCTTTATAGGAGTCTGTTTGGGTAGAGAAGACTAAGGGTCACAACTCCAGAACTTGAATGGCTCTGAGATCCTCATATTCAGATGGATGGGCGGGGGGAGGCTCCATGCAGATCACCACCCACCGTCCATCTGAATGACCTGCTACCAGCACTCATGGCCATTCCCTTAGCAATTTCTCCAGTACTTCCTTCCGTCGTTGCCCTGCCGATCCTGTCCCTCCCTCCGTCACCATTTACTCCATTGTGGCTCCGGTAATTCCTTCAGTAAGATGTTCAAGGAGGTTCCTCCTACGTGGGAAAAGGTGTTGTAAGGAAGAGAGAACATTTAGTTGGAAGAGCGAGTGAGGAGTCGCCCTTACAGAGCCCGACTTTAGAAACGCGTAGATAACCCAGGGAGGAGTTGGGTCGAACGCAGAGTGCACCTCAGGGAGGAGTCATCGTAGAGGAGGGGCGATAGATACCCTCTGAGGGACAAGAGCCGACCAAAGGCACTAAGGACCTGAGACAGTGTGTATGCTAGGGTTATCCTTTAATAGCCTCGAGAAGAGGAGGCGGTGGTGCATCAGTTCACAGCAATCATTCGTGTGCACATCCATCCCTGCTATGTTTCACTGGGGCTCTCTGCGCGGCTCTCCAGGCTTCAGTAGTGAGATGGACGGCAGGAACCATGGACCAGGAAAAGTAGCTATGAGGGACTAGTACCTGCCACCATCAGCCCCACCCAGGCCGCCCTCGCCACTTCTAGTGACAAGAGTGTTACCTGCCCAGCATCTGGACAGGTGTAATGTCCCGGGGAACGCTCCTGTCCGCCCTGCTAGCCCCAGATGTACGGCCGGTGGCGGCGGCGGCGGAGTGGATGTGAGGAGTGTGGAAACAGAGAGCGTCTGTAGAGCCTTGGGTTCAGGTGATTGATTGGTGCACAGGTCAGCTGGCTGTGTCTGGCTTCAGAACTCTAGCGTGGACCCCACACTCACTAGCTGTGGAATTAAATGGGAACTCGCCCCACACTTGCCTGTGGAATTTTGAAATAAGGCTGCTGTCCATACTTTTACAGCCTCCTACCCCCTCTCCGCCACCAAGTGTCTCTCTTTCAGAGCTTTGCCCGGCTCCCCTTGGCCAGCTCTCCAGTCCCCACTCAGATGCCAGTAAGTGTCCCCCAGGAAGGTACACAGGACCCTACTTTCTTTCCCTCTTCCCCTGCTCAGCCTGGATTAAGTGTCCATGTTAATCTGGGTGCCCTAATATGGCAAGCAGTTTGTGTTGGCTCTCACTTCCCAGCTGGATTGGGAGGAGCTGACCCCACTGGTAGCTCTGGTCCGGTTTGTGTCCCCAACATGAGCTATGTCAATTAAATTCTCATCTCTCAAAGTTTGAATACTGCCGGGGTTTCTGATACCGTGCTACGGAGTACGTTGACAGGTGTCTCCAGCCTCAGTGGGCGTGGAGCTGGTCCAATAGCAAACGGGAATTCCTCTACAGATTAGGAAGCTCCAGGAATCCAATCCACAGTGACTGCAGTAACGCTGGTTCATT